AAAAACGTAATTGTATATATGATTAATATCGAACACATTGAAAAAATGTTTTATTTTATAAAAATGCATCCAGGTTCTTTAAACAATTCAGCGGAATACATAATTCTAAATTGATTATTTTAAATATGATAAATGCGGATTTTACGTTAAATGGTATTATAGAAAAGAATATTATAATAAAGGTTGTATTAGATAATAAAATTATCTAATATTGTATTAAAATGCAATGTTTTGAAAATCTTTGATCTCGTTTTTACAGGTAGAGAGAAAAAAGAGAATTATAATGAGCATATTTTTCTATTCTCAAAAACAAAATGTTACGAAATCTTTAAATGTAAACGAAAGAATGTCAGCTAACAATAAATGTATTAAATTTTTAATTTATTAAATATTTCTCTTATTAATAAGAAACAAAATAACATTACGACTGGATAAATATAAATTTTTATGCATAAAGATTCAATATTTCGGGTATAATATAGTGTAAATAAATATAAAACTCTTATCGAGGACTAGCAGCATTTCTCTGTTACTGAAAACGCGTGATCTTAAAGGATTTATCAGACTAAGCTTATATTTTATCAAGAAAATTTATCAAGAACTTTGCTGTTAGCAAAACCTTTATACGATCTGTTAAAGAAAAATATTCCTTGTGCGTTTGATACCAAAGAGTTAAAAGGATTCAAAAATAGAAAAGCAAAATTAATTTCTGCTCCTATACTAGCAATTTATAGTTCTAAAGGAACAGAATTACATTACGATGCCAGCTCGTTAGGATTTAAAGCAATATTAATGTAACGTAAAGCGGATCTAAAATTCCGCCCCATTTTCTATTTTTCAAAGCACACAACCAAAACTGAAAGTTACCATAGTTTTGAGTTGAGACCTTGGTAATTATGTATGATCTATGTCGATTCTGGATTTATACGAAAAACAATTTAAAATAGTTACAGATTGTGAATCTCTAAAACTAACTAAATAAAGAAAAATATAAATTCGCGTATAATGCGACGGATTTTGAAATTAAAAGAATTATGATTATGTAGTGAAACATAGAACTGGTTCACGTGTGCGCCATGTGAATGCATTTAATCGTGCACAAATATTTCAGTAAGTAAAGATAAAATCAAATAAGAGAAATTCCATATGAAGAATTAAAGGTAATTTTTAAAAATATTATTTAGTTATTTCTTAAAGTCAAGATTCGCCAAGAATTAAAAAATAAAAATTAGAGAAATCAAAGGCCGGTATTCATAATCCGTTCTTATATTCAAGATTAACTTAAGTAGGGACTTATATTCGCTCATTTTGTCAGACACAATCTGTATGTGACGAAGAGAGCAAATATAAGTTTGCACTTAAGACGATCTTGAATATAAGAACGGATTATGAATACCGCCCAAAGACTTAAAGTTCAAAACGCGCAATAGTATAATATATTATAAGAAAAATAAATAGATGTCACTCTATGTACTAATAAATATAAAAAATAATGTATTGCATAAATATCACAGTGGTTCAAGTCATTTAAGAGTAGAGAAGACTATGCTATTTAATGCTATTATGTACAATTATTGGTTTTCAAATTTACGACAAAAGGTAGAATCTTACATCCGAAAATGTTTGAAATGTATCAAATGTATCACATTTTTGCCCGTATCAGCCGATGTAAAGATTAACGTGAAGATTATTTGCGTAATATATCTAAAGAAAATATGTACCATTTTGTATTCTACACTGATTATTTTGGTTCAATGGATGGAAAGCATTTTGACTAAACTCTTGTACTTTTTGCAATCAATGCATTTACTAAATATGTACTATTATATGCGACAAAAAATATCTCAACTATAGAAGCTATACGATATTTAGAAAATTATTTTGTTAATTACAGTTAACTCAAATTTTAATAAGGATAGGAATACATCGTTTATTTTTCACGAATTTTGTCAATTTTGTTAAGGAGAACGATATTAAGCACATCGCAATTCGCCTCAAACGAATGGACAGTAGAATAAATAGAATACTTGTATCCATGTTAGCTAACAAGAAAAGTTCGACAACCCTAAAAATTCTAAAAAATCTGAAACTTTGCAGAAATGTAATACATATAACCCTAATCAAAAAGTTATTTTTTGTTTTAACTAAAAAACGATTCTGGGGGTAGAAACACCCTTCAAAAAAATTCGATTTTTCATATTAATATAAAAAATCGAATTTTTTTAGAAGGGTGTTTCTACCCCCTTATTTTTTCAAAAATATTAGCAAAAATTTTTGCTAATATTTTTGAAACAATAAAAGATATTGAAAAAATATCAAGTACAAAATATTATGGTTTTTAATGATCTTTAACATTATAATAAAAAATTTAAAAAAAGTTTTTTTTTTCAAAAAATTTTTTTTATTATTCCCTTTATTTTGAAAATTTTTTATCATAATATTAAAGATCATTAAAAACCATAATATTTTGTACTTGATATTTTTTCAATATCTTTTACTGTTTCAAAAATATTAGCAAAAATATGAAAAATCGGATCTTCTTTGAAGGGTGTTTCTCTCATAAGAATCGTTTTTTAGCTAAAACAAAAAATAGATTTTAAGTTGAGAAGCAAAAAGTATTGATATAAAACATTAAATGACGTATGTGTTAAGTAATATATTTGAGAGAGAGAAAGAGAGAGAGAAAGAGAAAGAGGGAGAGAGGGAGAGAGGGAGAGAGAGGGAGAGAGAGGGAGAGGGAAAAGAGAGGGAGAGGGAAGAGAGGGGGAGAGAGAGAGAGAGAGAGAGAGAGAGAGAGAGAGAGAGAGAGAGAGAGAGAGAGAGAGAGAGAGAGAGAGAGAGAGAGAGAGAGAGAGAGAGAGAGAGAGAGAGAGAGAGAGCATGCTAAGTAATAATTTATTTGGGATATTGCAATGTGGTAAAATTAAAAACAAAATCGTATATGTACACAGCAAAATAAAAAAGCAAGATTATAATTTAAATTTAATTTGAAATAAAGTAGCTGAAAAGACTAGAATATCACGAAAGCGTAATGAAATTATTGTAAATCAGAAAGAAATACACATAAATATAAAGAAAGAGATTTAGTTATGGTAAAAAATTTCCAAAATATAACTGAAATATTAAAGTAATTGTTATATATATACCGCAATTTAAGGAGCTCTAGAAAGTTACCAAATATTTAAGAAACCGATGTGTTGTATTTGACAAATGGCTATCAAAATATTCATACATAACGCCCAACGCAGAATAGAGAAAATATTAGGAATAAGAATAAATATTAAATATTTGAAATAAGAAATTGATATTATTTTTATTCAAAACAAGAAAATAAAATTGATTAACGTATTATGAATTAGAAAATAAGAATCAGAATTAATTAATCTATTCCATTCCCTTGTTTGAAGTAAAATAATTCCAAATTGTTCTTTTGAATATTTAATATATATTCTTATGCCTAATATTTTCTCTATTGTGCGTTGGACCTAAGTCCTATCAAGGTGTCTGGCAAGCTTGTAATATGCGCCAGTGGAGAAATAACAATTCAACTTACAATTAGTTAAGTTACTAATTCTCTATTTATGTTAAAATATTGTATATTTGCCAATTATCTATAATTATTTATAAAAATGCGTATGTGTAGTTATACTATTTAGTAAGATAAGATTTAGTAAGATTTAATATTTCTATTTAATTACGACTGCATTCGGAAATTTTATCAGTTTTAAATTTATATTTATATCACATTATATCAGTTATATATGTTAACATTTAAATTATTTTTTTAAGTAAAAAAAATTTATGCTTTTTATACAATTTCTTATATATATGTGTTTGAAACGTATATATGTTTAGCTATATATAACCAAATTATAAGCTATTTATGTGCTGCTCCGACTGTAATTCTACCTAATACAATACAATGCAATTTCATGAAATCGTGGCAGTCTGTGATTCGAAAAGAGATCGTTCCCTCTAATACTCTTGTAGTAATAAATATAATATGTATTTCAGAGAAGCAAATCGAGTCCAGATATTTAATTAAGAAAATGATCCGACTCCCTCATGCTCTATTCACAGATCTTATATTTGTTTCTTATTTTTAATAAAAAAATGAATTAGAGCACGTAGCAGAGAATATTCAAAAAATATTCTCAAAAATAAGATTCTTCTCTACACGATTTATTCATGCAGAAAATTATATATTTGAGAATTGCTATAATTAATAAATTCACAACATTACTGAGCCAAAATTTGAGATAGTCATGCATACCTAAATCTGAATATTTTATAGACAAACTTTTTTAAGTATTGACTATACACAATACTAATTAAAAGTTATTAAAATTTAAAAACAATTTTTATTTTTTATTTTATAGTAAAATATTTATTTATATATTAAATAAATAATATTGAATAATGTTGAAAATGATAATGTTATAAATTAACGCTAGTTTTAATATTTTTATTATAATTATTTGTAAATATTTTTTGTTATGAGGACAAAAAGAAAAAGAGTGAAACTTTTGTGGATACAAATCTCTTTGAAATTAACTGTAAATAATTGAAACTAAATAATGAATCGTTATCAAATTGCGGATACGCGATAGAATAAGATACGTAGTGCAATAATCATATTTTGCTGCAAAATAAAATTTTACATGAATATTTATTAAAGTTTTTATGGAGTATATATAAAATTTGACCTGGTTAGCAATATTTCTTCTTTGTCAAATTTAGCATAAAATGCTGCAATATATAATTTTTTATAAAAATATTAGTAATGTAAATATAAAAATTAATTATCATATTAATCAGAAAATTATACTTAATTTTTGTGCATTCAAAATTAATGATATAATCTTTAGAATTAATAATCAAATACTCTATGACATAATTTTATGGTTTTGCCAATGTTTGAAAATTCTTAAATATTCTCGCAGGTCTTATATTCGCTTTAGATTGTTTGACTTCTTGAGAAAAGAACAAAAGCTACTCACTGGCAAAGCGCGGGTCGTTAGTGGTCGGTGGCGCCGGTGCGTACCAGGGATGATGGTGCGACGACACCGCGTGGGACCGCATGGGATCTGTAGCTGTGGCGGTGGCGCCGACGCCGGGTCCAGCATGATGATATGGCGATAGTTCCGCGGCGCAATATTGATACTGCGACGTGAGTTGCATGGTAGCGTAAGGATTGCCCATGGCACTCATACCTCCGCCGGCACCGCCGCCGGCACTACCGGCACCGCCGCTGCCGCCGCCGCCACCGGGGGCGGCTCCGTTGGCAACGGAACCGGTCCGGGGGTGCTGCCGCCGGGCGTCGAGCCGCCGTGTAACGGCGGGCTGCCGCTGCTCGCGCTCGAGCTGCCGGTGTTACCGCCCACCCGGGCGCCGCAAGCCGTTCCGTAAGGCGAGCCCTGGGAGTGTGTGACGACTCCGACACCGACGGCAGCGGCGGCGGCAGCAAGTTCGAGTTTCCGGTAAGACTCCTCGATCGGCGACAGAATGTCAGTAACGCTGAACGGCGTCGTGTGGACGCCGCCGGCAGTTTGCACGTGCGACGAATGTTGCTTCGGCGATAGGCTCATCGCCAAGTCGATACCGTTGAGATCCGACAACAGGCCGGCTTGCTCCAACTGCGATTGCTGCTGTTGTTGCTGCTGTTGCTGCTGCTGCTGCTGCTGGTGCTGATGATAAGTTGTAGCATTGCTGTTACCACCTTGGTTACCACCGCCGTTTCCGCCGCCGCCGCCGCCGTTACCGCCGCTCATCTCGGCGAGCCCGGCGCCGTCGAAGTACTTGAAGCTCGCGCCTCGCGGAATGATGAGGCCGGCGCTAGCCGTGACAACGGCGTGACATTATGACGCTATTGCTCTCGACTCTGTACGTGCACTTGTGATTGCCGCTTAGATAGCGTCGCCGATGATCGTTGCTTTATTTGTATTCACGTTTTCGATAGATAATGGATCGATGATTGATCGACTTGGAACGTTTAATATGCACCATTGGAATTTCAACAATTTTTTCGCGTCTCACTCAAATCGAAATTGGTATATTTGTCTAATTATTTTCACAATGTCACAGGTCACTTGTAGATCGATAACATTTAAGTTTTGCAAAGATAAAATTGTGTTTTTTTTTTGTTTATTCTTTTAGTTGCAGTAATTTAAAGTGGCATTTGGTGATGTGAATCAATTTGGAAGTTATGATTAATTGCAACTCCATTTTAGAACAAGAAGCAAGCATTTTTACTTCTAGTCCAATTGCCGGGAAATTTTCGGAAAACTGACGTTAAGTGTAAAAAAATTCTGCTTTTACTAACACCAGCGTTATTTGTTTCTAAAGTTAATGTAAAGTTCAATTGTCGCGAGTTAGTGATCGTCCGTTTTTCTTTCTCTGCGATTACAATGTTGTACGAACATCGCATAACTTGCACATAGTTTACAATCGCAAAAAAATCTTCACACAGACACAAATTAACGTTTCTTTTTAGCAATTATCGAGCTTATCTTCACTGTCGAGTTTGTCTTCACTGCGCGCATCGATGATGGTTTTGTATACTTTTACATTATCATCATCTTCACTTTATTTTTTCAACACTTTCCCCAAAAGCAATTTCAAGGTCGACATCAATCCGATATCACGTGACACACAGGAACCATCGTACCCAATGGAGCGGAAGTGCGGTCGGCCGGCGGCCGACTCAGATGGCTCCCGAAAGTCGTTGAATCCTTTAATAACGTGTCGTTATTGCTCTTTCATACACGTGAACGAAACGCGAGACAAACAAGGTCGCGACACACGACACGATAGTCTTACACACGTGGTCGAGAATAGTGGCCGGCCAGAGCCGGCCGGCGGCCGACTGAAATCACGCGGGAGTCTTCGAGTCCTCGGATTCCGCCGATAGAGAGACGATAGTAGATGTACCACTCTACGCTTCGCCTCCACCTTCGTCGAGGATACACTCTCTCTCCTACGGAGAAAAGCCGCTCTATGGATGGATGGATGGATGGATGGATGGATGGATGGATGGATGGATGGCTTGGCTGGCTGGTTGGGTGGCTGCTTGCCTTGCTGGCTTGGCTGGCTGGCTGGCTGGCTGGCTGGCTGGCTGGCTGGCTGGCTGGATGAATGAATGGAGAGGACTTCTGTCGGGTACTCCTGGAGAGGTCCTCACGGCCGCTTAGACCCACTCGACCAGCACTCGCCCGCTTCGCTCGTTCGCTCGCTCGCTCGCCCGCCCGGGTACAGGCCCCACAGCCTCTCACGGAGAACCCGTACGACGACACGATGAGTGGAGTGCCCACTACGGAGAAGTGCCTGCTACCAAGAGTCGTGATGAGATGCCCCCTTTTGCGTGTGAGAGAAGGGTTTCCATACCGTCGCAGAGAAAGGCGCGGAGGGGCTGCGACGGGAAGAAGTGGATCTGAGTCGGAGA